GGGGGGGGGGTCTTCTGATGCGAAAGGGGGAAACTTTGATGTGAAGAAGGGCTCCTGATGTGAAGGGGTCTTCTGATGTTAAAGGGTGGGACACCTATGTAAGTAGGGTGTCATGGTGCAGCCACCATGGCAGAGGGGCACTTTAATGTGACCAAAGGCTTCTGATTGAAAGGGGAACCTCCATGTCATCTTTTTTTTTAGCCTCTGGTCCAGCCTTAAATCCATACCAGACTTCTGTCTAGGACAAGGGTTTGGTATTGATCTTGGAGAAGGGCAAACATGTGTCATGTTTTTCATTTATGCTTTTAAAATGTTATACTGGGGTGCCTCTAGATTTTGCATGCATTTAAAAGGTGGTGTGATTAAAAAAAAAAAAAAGGTTAAGAAACGGTGGTCTCACGGACCCGGATGGTGGCAAACTGGCCAAAACTGTGCACATGCCTCTCACCTCATAGAAGGGATGCACTTGCCACCAATCCACGCCACTGCAAACAGGGTGGCAGCTCTAGGCTAAACTTGTCTTAGCTTTACATAAAATGGGGAAGTTAGACCCTCTGTCAATTGGTATTACTGGTTCTCTTTCTGTACTGCTGACCATTGTCACCAAGGGGAAATCCAAAATTGTACAGCTGTCCCCAGAACAAGAGGTGGGGGGAAATCATCCAATTAGGACTCCTGCTCCAAAGGCAACTAAGTTCCTTTGGAACTCACTTTAGGAGCTTCCTGACACTTCCTGTTGTGTCTCAGGGGCAGAAAGTAAATTTCCTCAATGGCACAAAGTAATATAAATGACTTTTCAGGTGTTTCCACCCTTCCAAATTCTAACAAAAAAAGTTTTACCTATGGTTCTCTTTAATGAATTTGTGAATAAAACATGTAGCTTTCTGTTAATAGTAGAACTACAACCCACAGAATGTATTACAATTCTCACCCTTAAAAATACAAGTTTAATTTCCTCTAACTTCCCCTGCCCCTCTCTATATAAAATGTCTTCTCTTAAGTCTTCTTTCACCTCCAAATAAAACACATTCATCACAGTAGCAGCTGCAGTAACATGACCCAAGGGCTGTCATCCAGGGATAGTAAACACTACAGATCCCAAACTACTGAAATCTCCGCACAAAGGCGCAAATCCAGCACGAGGGACCAGCCACAGCATTTCCCAGCAGGCACAGCGAGCCGCCGGTGTGCAAGCTGGCCTCAATCGCCCCCATGAGCAGCAGACTTGGGCATGTGTCTATTTGCAGGCAGGGCCCAGACAGCCAGGCGCTTTATTAAATGCCGGCAGACAGCCAGCACCAGCCTACGCTGCCCCTTTAAGGCGCGCTCCACACTGGACCCGAAATCGCGCTGCCCACCGAGTCGAAACAAAAGATTCCTCGCCTGACGTCACCAGCCCCAGCTCCACCCGCTTTCTGGAATAGGCGGGGTTTAGCAAAAAGCCAATCCGCTCCTGCGTTCTCCTTCTCGCTGTGCGGGCGGGGCGTGCCTGGAAGGAGGCGTGGGACGCAGACTTTGCGTTCCACAGGTGAAAGGAGGCCGTGCTGGGCGGCGCGCTCCCGTAGTGCTGCTCTGTCTGGATCGCTTGTGGTCGCGCAGTTAGTGGTCGCCGTGCGCTGGTAACTATGGCGGAGCTACCGGCCTTGTTCGTCGTCACTATCAACGTCCTTCTGCTCGGCGGCCCCAGTCTGACGAACGGTAAGCGAGGGGAGAGGGATAATAGTGTGTGTATACGGGAGAGCGAGGGCTGGGGAAGGAGGAGGGTGCAGACATTGAGGAAGGGTAGGAGGTTACCTATACACAGTGTATACATGGTGGAGAGTGGATGGCTGCTCTGTGAGGGCACTGAGCTCGGTGTGTGGAGGGGGGCGGGGGTGTTTACAGCTAGGTGAGCTCTCTGTCCTGTGTTTAGGGAAGTCAGAGCCCCAGGCAGCTCAGACAAGAGTAAACCCATCCATACTCGGGTCTGACTGGAGTCATTCACCTGCTGGTACTTCCTCCATCATGGTAGTCCTTACCTCTGCTCATACTTTACCGTATGTCTGAGGCTTAGCCATACACTTATAGATTTCTCTGTCAGTCACTCGATTGGAGGAATCTGCACTGCCGGCTGTTGTATTCCTTTTTTTCATTCTGGATATGAGTAGCAATGGTTAAAATATATTGTAAACATCAGATAACCACCAGCACTTATCTGATATTTACGTTGGAGTTTTCACATGGTGCCTTCAGTGTCATCACTGCAAGCATCCCCATTCTACAAGGACACAACTCTGTTTGGAGTGCTATTGATTTATGACACGCTCTGGTTAAAATACCAGTCAGATTTTGTATTTGTCATCTGTGTCCCATCAGGGACATTTCCCTTCACTTCCTGTCCTATAGCCATAGCAGTAAGTGAGAGGGGATCCCTTCTTAGCTGTGACCATAAGTGTTCACAACTTCAGATATTTTTGATTTTCTCTAATGTTGACTCCCAAAGGCGGTGGTCACCTCCGAGGTACAGGCAGCGGTAACAATGTAGATAGATGAAAGTAGTCACTCGCACTCTATGATATTAAAGTCAATGCTGTTTATTGACTGAGATAACACACATCTCCTTAGCGGCATTTCGAGAACACTCTCTGTTTGCCTGAGGACGGGACCGCATGGTCTCGAAAACGTCGCCGAGGGGATGTGTGTTATCTCCGTCAATAAACAGCATTAACTTTAATATCATGGAGTGCGAGTGACTACTTTCATCTATCTACATTTCACGGAGGCATCCGTTGTCACCACTGCACCCACCCAGTTGGATTTGGGTTTTTGTCCTGTCAGGAGTGCGGTGGGACAGGAGGATTAAGCAATAACAATGTGATGGGTTCTATCCCTGCCTACTCTAAAACTAAAATCAAGTTAACTTTCTATTGTGGAGAGAACCTGCCATTTCCACAGGAACTGAAGGTTGTCATGTGGTTCAATCTGATTTTCGTGTAGACTGACCCAGAAAATGATACTTGTTGAAAACGTGCACTAAAGTCTGTACATGGAGGTTATCAACTACAATGTATTCACCCTTGAGCAGAAGTGTTTAAGGGGCAGTACAGTGGTACCTCGTTTCACGAACTTAACTCGTTCCACGATTCTGGTCGCCAACTGAATCAAACCGCGATCTTGACTAGAGGAAGACACGACCATGTGTCAGAGCGGGGAAGATGGTTGTGTTTGTCACCGATGTGGAGTTTGCGAACGGAAGCCAAAGAATAAGGATGCAGAACCTCAACATACACAAAATGCACTTCTGTGCAGTCAGAGCGGTGAAAATGTGGGATTCATTCATGCCAGTTAGGTAGATTGTTTAAAAACATCTGGATGCTTTCCTAAATGTGTGGAGAGTAACTGGATATTAACATTCTAACTCCAGAGATTGTTGATCCTGGGAATATTGGATTGCCTTTGGGCAGTGGTGGCGAACCTTGGCACTCCAGCTGTTTTGGAACTACAAGTCCCTTGAGGCATTGCAAGGCTCTGACAGCCACAGACCTAACTCCCAGAGGCAGATGCATGTTGGGATTTGTAGTTTTGGCACAGCTGGAGTGCCAAGGTTCGCCACCACTGCCTTTGGGGGTCAGGAAGGAATCTTTTTGCTCTGTTGGAACAATTGGCCCATGCTTTATGAAGGCTTATTTGCCTTCCTCTGGAGCACTGGTGGGTATAGAGTTTTGTCTATAAAGGTTTCCTATGTATTAATTCGTCATTTTTTTTGTATTGGTTGAACTAGATGGTTTTTTCGACCTGATTTACTATATAAAGTGTAATTTTCTAAGAGTTGTGGAGATGGGAGAACAGCAGCACGTATACATCAGTGAGCAATCCTCAGTGTATTTATAGTGATTGGTGTGCTGGGAGTATCATGGACTGTACGTGCTTGTCGTAATTTCTAGAAGTGAAGTCAATGTTTGGTGAATGAGAGCTGAGTTTTCTGATGAGAGGAGTGTGGTCTGGGAAAGCAGGCAATTATGGACGGATGTGCTGGTTTTTGATACTCGCCGTAGACATGCGTTTTGTGCAAGGTTCTCCATGGTGAGGGTCACAGCACTTCAGATGTAGTCTATGTAAACAAAAGGCGTCTGAGCCTGTGCACCTTGCCGTGTAAAATGTCATGTTCTTTTGTTTCTTTTAGAACACACAAATTGATACTTGTATTCGCTGCTTCTAGATGTGTTAAATGTATGTGTCTATATCTGGCTGGACAAATCCCAGGAGCCAGGTAGCCAATGCACCTTTAAAAATTACACCTGGTACCAAATTTGTGACGTTATCTCTAGTTGTCATTGGAGCTGGCTCCTAAAAAATAAATAAATACAATCTTGCTGACTCGTGGATTGGACAGACTGGCTCCTGAATTCCATATGAATTTGTCCACCACTGATCTATATATTTTATATTTATTACACGACCCATACATTCTTTCCTTTTTCACCTCTTTGTCATGTTGAGGCTGGCAGCTATCGCACCATTCAGTAGATAGGTTATATAGTGCTTAAAGTATGGCCACATTGCAAGGGTTAAGTGACCGTTTTCGTCTAGGGTGCAAAAACAAAGCATGCTCACCTGAACTTCGGACACATCTGGTTGCTGGCGCGGTCCCTGCAGCCTCTCTGCACCCCCCCAGCTCCCAGTAGTCTAAGAACCTGTGAGTCATCACAACCTATGCCAGGGGTAGCCAAATTCTGGCCCTCCAGCTGTGGTGAAACTACAAATCCCATGATGCATCTCTCTCCGGGAGTCATGTCTGTGGCTCTGAGAATCTTGCAATGCCTCATGGGATTTGTAGTTCCACCACAGCTGGAGGGCCGGAGTTTGGCTACCCCTGTCCTATGCAGTGTATTGGACATTGAGGACGCCAAGGGACATTCTATCACCGGAGCAGATTAGGAGAGAGGCTGCAAGGACAGGTAGGCCAGGCAGGTCCGACGTATGAGTGAGTAACTTTATTTTACATGAATACAAGCACTTAGGCCTTGCGGTACAGTGGGAGCCTTGCTGCAAGGTTTATTTCTGCCTGGAGTTCTTTATTACTTGTGACGTAAATTCCATCAGACATGGTAGCGCCTCTCTTTGTAGACGTTTTCTTTTTCAGCAAAATGTCTTCTATCCAACAACAGGTTATTCTTTTTTTAAATCAGATAGTTTTTTGATTACAACAGGTTATTCAGCTGATATGATTGTATTTATATTTTATTTCCGTGGTGGTTGTTGTGTAGAAAATACTTTGAGGAGCCTGAATGCTGCTTCCTATGTTCTGAGTTGGTTGGTTGTTTGGACTGCAGGTTAAGAGATATTTGCACCCCTTTCGTATTGTTTCAGGCATAATCTGTCTGTAGTCTGTATCTCTGATTTCAAAAATAAAATGGTCCTTTGCCTGCGCTGCTATTAAATTGCAGACATGGGCCAGCCATGAGATCAGGCTGCCTTGAGCAATGTGAGATTTAATTTTGATGATGGATCCCAGCTAAAGCATTGACTAGACAGACACATTTTCCTCATATATGAGGCTTTTCAGATATCACAGTTTGACTTTTTCCCCTCTTTGGAGCATGTGTGGTCTATCAGTATACCCACTAACACTCCCTAGTTCTTGTTTCAGGGCTTTGTCTCTTTTTACATTTACACATATATATATATCTATATATATTTGTAATTCAGATCATTGTACAGAAAATCCATATACTTGCTCAGAGTGGTTCTCTGGTCCATGTAGGGAAGTCATTGTACTTAACTACTAACTTTTATCAGCTCCTGAAATATTAATTTAGTATTAGGGATTATGCATTGTGGAATGTCATTAAATAAACATACTTGTAGATTTGTTAAAATATGTTCTGCCAAGATACGTGGGAGTATGTCTTGGTGTTGTAGACTTGGAAAAAGCTTCTGAAGCTGGCCATGAACACTCTAGTTTGCTTCCTAATGAATGCGTGCATTCCTGTTGTGTTCTGTGAATACCCACATAAAGTAAGTCACAAAGCAAATGATTGTTGTATACTGTTGTGTTGCATTCATAGTTCATCAAGTTGTCATTGCACGTCAGTCCAGTCTAGGGGTCGCAGGTAGTTAGGGGCGTGCATCTATTAAACTGACATGAAACTCAGGAGTTCAAGCTTAAAAATGCATTCGAGAACCCTAACTAGTTACAAAAATGTATCTTATTTGTGTATAACTCGGCTGTAGATCCTCAAATCATCTCTGAATTGGTGCTGACACTGCTCAGCCTGCCCAGAGGACCCGACCACGGAAGGTAAAGTAGAAAAAGAACAAAAAAAAACAGCGCAAGCTTCGGCGGTATGCATCGGGGCATTTTGACAAGTACTTGTCAAAATGCCCTGTATCGGGCCCGATTCTGATGTTAGCATCGGTATTGGGACATCCCTAGTTGTGACATATATTTTTAATGTGCATGTCAAGCCAAAAGTTATTTTTATTTTGCATCAAGTGTGGAAGAGTTAAACAACCTTTTGAGGTTTTTATTGTCTGATTCTTTGCTGGGGAGATTCCCACCCTCTGTTTGTCATTGTGAGCATTGTCTCTTGGATTGGCCCAGCCAACATTTTTGAGTTTTCACAAGAACAGAAGGGTGAAGGGAAATCTTCCAATAGTGACACCAGTTCCTCCCCTCCCCTTGGAGAGTTCTCTTTTTACTTTAGGACACAAAGAAT